TAGAATCATATGGAGGAAGAATAACCTGGATAATGGATTTTGTACCAGATGCTCAAGAAGATTTAGCAGAAATAAGAAAAGTAATCAATGGAGAAACTACAGGAATATCTTTAAACTATAAACCAGCAAAGGAAGCCTTTGAAAGACTTAAAGAAAAAATAAAAAAGAGAATAACTTTAGCTAAACCAAATTACAATAATATTATAATATTATCATGCAATGCAGGACCAGAAGCTTTAGGAGCATGTTTATTCCAAGAAGAAAAAGATGAAAAAGGAAAAACAAAGAAGAAAATAATAGGATTTTATTCAAGATCCTTGAACAAATTACAAAAGGATACTCAATACCTTGACTAGAACTAATGGCAATAAATGAAGGGATAGATCATTTTTATGCAGACCTTAGATTATCTAAAGGAATACAAATTTTAACAGATAGTGAAATCGCTTACAAATTACATAAAAATGTGATGACCAAGGAGAAAATTACAGAATCACCAAAATTTCTACCATTACTAATCAAACATATAGAATTAGAAAAAGAAATTGTTTGGATTAAAAGAGATAAGAATAAATGGGCAGATATTATGACATGAATAGGTTTGTCAGCAGAAAAATAAATAGAAATACAAGAAGAAAAACTTGAAAAAGAAGGAATTAAATTAATAAGCATCAAAGGATGAGAATTGTATCCCGAAGGACCAAAAATTAGAAATCAAAAGAAAATTATAAATCAAGAAGAAGGAATTTGTCAGCTAAAAATTCAGAACTATAAAAAGAGGAAGAAAAAGACTAACCAGAATTATGGAAAAAGAAAAAGAAATAATTTTAATTCTTTGTCAATTTTCGTAATTCTTTTAATTAAATTTTTAATACTTTTTCTTTTATTTCTTTTATTTTCTTAAAGAAAATCAAGAATACTAAATTCAAAAAATCATAAAACAAAAATATTAGTAATTAAAAAATTACGAAAAAAGAAAAATCTCATTCAAAAAAGAAATAATTAAAATATATAATCTAAACAAGATTACAAAAATATCTTACGGAAAATGAGTCAACAAAATAGTCAAATCACTAGCCCTGTCATTACTGAAGAAGAATAACAAAAGATTTTGGAGAATTTTGAAGAATATAAAAAGATTCTGAATAATATTAAAAACAAAAAGAAAAAGAAGAAAAAGAAAAAATTCAAAAAAGAAATTAACGAATTAGAAAAAGAAATTGAAGAAAAATTGAAAGAAAAAACAAATTTAGGAATGATTACAATAAAAGAATATAAGAAAGAAAATTGTGTCCTACAAAGGCGCCAATCCAAATGTTTGATATCTTGGACTATCTTCAAGTCGAATCAAAAAAAAATGTCAGCGCAAGTATGACGAAAAGATTAAACGAAAATGAGTTTATCGAAAATAACAAAAATACAGTTGATGATGATGATCTGGGTACCGTTGAATCATTGTTTTTATTAATAAATTTGTATACATCATTCATATTTTGTCTTAATCATATATCTTAAATGTTGGTTGTGTTTACAATCGTTTTGTCGACATTCATTATATTAAGGTTATTTTGATTATATCGAGAGATATGGTCAAGAGAAGAGTTAGGAAGAGAGTTATTCTTCAACCAAGTCGAAAACCAACCCTTTAAATACATTTTCGAGTAGTACGATTTAATTTATTAGACTATTTCAAAGTTTTGTCACATGCTTGCTTCCAACTTCTTAAATTTAAACCATTTGTTAACGAAACAATTGATTGTTGACGAAATGAATCAAACCAACATTTATTTTTACATTATCAGATTCACGATTTTGATTGGTCAATTGGTCAATCAATAATTGCATGGTTAAAATTATAAAAAATGTAATTTTTTCAAATTGAATTTATATATATACAAGTTCGTCCCACAGATGTTCAATTGGGTTGAGATCTGGGGATTGAGAAGGCCAATCAGACAAAATTTTTATTTTTTTCTTTCCAATCCATTTTTGTACATCTTTTGTAGTATGCACATAATCTCCACCACGAAATTTTCTTCTAATAAATGGTAACAACTTTTTTTCTAGAATTTGTATATAGTCTAAACGATTCATTTTACCCCCCACTTTTACTAATGGACCTAATCCCCTTCCGGAAAAGCATCCCCAAACCATTATGCCACCACCACCATGTTTAACTGAAGGGACAATATTTTCGACATTGTAACATTGACCATCAGTACGCCAAACATGTCTTGGTCCATCATTTCTGAAGATTGTAAAGCGTGATTCATCACTCCAAATCACTTTGCTCCAGTCTTCTACTGTCCAAGACCTTCTTTCTAAACACCACTTTAATCGATTTTCTTTTTGTTTTTGTGTTGGAAGTGGTTTAACAGCAGCAGCCCTTGAAAAAATCCCAAGTTCATGCAAACTTATACGAACAGTTCTTGTGCTAATCTCTTTGCCACCAACTTCAGTAAATTTCATTTTGATCTCTTCTACAGAACTAAAATTATTATTTTTTGTAATTTCTTTTAAATTTTTTTTGTCATCATCATCTAAACTTTTTGGTCTGCCAGGTCGTAGAGCACTTTTAACATCATCTGAATTTTTATAATGTGTAATTTGATTATGAACTGTACTTTTGGGTATTTTAAGGCATTTGGAGATTGCTCTAATACTTTTACCACTCATATGAAGACCTAATATCTTTCCTCGTTCAAGTTCAGTCAAATTGGAATTTTTGTAAAAAAAGATGGCGAAAAAATGTAGATCAAGATCTAGTTATATAGGCGTGCTAGAAGTATGAATTTCAACATATACATTCCTTGGAACATGAACTTTAAGATCATATAGTTTTGTATTATTTATTATGTGGATTTTTGAGAAAATACAAAAACTCATGAATGACACCAATTTTTTAATCGAAATTAGTATTTTTTTTTATTTACTGGAGTTTTAGATGTGTTAAAATTATGAAAATCTGTATACATGTTCGTCAAAACCTAGGCCGCAAATGACATAAATTTTATGTATAGTTATTATGTGTAGTTTTGCGCAAACAGGTGTCCGAAAACTTTTGTCTAGGGTGTGTATATGTTTAAATTCGATGCGAAATGTTAAAATTAAATATAAATCACAATGTAACAATGTGTTGGGTAGGCTGCGCATCTTGAAATAAGATTCTGATGTATGTAGCAGCTGAAAATGTAATTGTATTTCCTGGTTATCATGATACCTATAATAAAAGGATCCAGCCTCAGCATAATTATGGAAGTGGATATGTGTGAACCTAAATTAAAAATTTTTACTTTTTATCATGTAATTTTTTTACTTGAGGTAAATTTGGAACTCATCCATTCTTCAAAATAAGGTGTGTTTTTATCTGTATGATCGGAACCTCCCACAAAAATGGATAATACTGGGTTTCAACACTCTAATCATTAAGAAGTTATATTTAATAAACAAATTTATACGGATAAGGTAGGTAGGTATGTACAGAGAAAAGAAGAAAAATCTTTCCCAAGTGAGAGAGGAACTTCAAGCGAGACATTATTTTTAAATAAAGGGAAATAGTGGAAAAATACACTTGAAAATAAACTTCAATTGAATTTTCAACACCCGATTAACTGGAAGTTAAAAATTTTTAAAGGAAAATCCGGATTTTTAAAGTATTATTTCCAGCCCTGCAGTTCGAACTAGGCATATGGGTCGATTTTGAAATAAAATGTCACATGGTAGCATTGAATTACTGAGAAAGCAAAACCGGCTTATATCTATTAGAAAAGATCATATTAATATTGGGAGTGTCTCAATAATAATTAAAGGCGTCAAATAAAAAAAGTCAAAGATTTAAAGTTGTCTAAAATCCAAATATACAAGATACACAAAAAAAAATTAACTTTTTTTTTGCTGCATTTTTACTTTATTTATGAATGTTTATTTGAAAATATTCATCTAATATATATTTATATACTTTTTTAAAAAAATTATTCTTCTAGATACTTATCAAGCTAAGAAATATAAAATTAAATATTAATATAATTTACTTTTATTAAATTAAATTCTTTTTTTTTCAAAAAAAAAATTATAAATCTTACTTGTAATGTTAATGTCTTGCTACTGTTATAATCCTGATCTCTATAAATTCCTACAAGTGCTTCTGCTTTTTCATATAAAGTACTCTTAAGAGATATTACAATAAACTGGAATTTGTCACTTGCGTGCTCCTTAATATAATTTGCTATTTTCCCAACATTTGCATTATCTAATGCTGCATCAACTTCATCAAGTACAAAAAATGGCGATGGCTTATAGCTAGAAATAATTAATCGATTCATCAAATTATCATTTATATAACACTAAAAAAATATGAATTTAAAGTTTACTCAAAACTATTTTACCTATGTATAGCAAATAACAATGCTAAAGCTGCCAAAGTCTTTTCGCCCCCAGATAACTGTTCCATATCTCTAAAACGTTTCATTGGTGGCATTGCATGATATTTTATACCATACAAATATGGTTCCTATATAAAAAATTATAAATGTTTATTAGGCTTGCATTTTTTTTGTTTAAATCAATTTAGGCTTAATAAATAAGAATTTTTATAATACTTCTGTATCTTCCAGGTTGAGATATGCTGCCCCTCCATCTTGGACATTATCTTTTGTAAGATCCTTGTAAATTCGATCAATAATTTCTGCAAGATGATTATATGCTGCTTGAAATCTTTTACATCTGTTATAGATAATAGATTATAAATATATTTTTTTATTTAAAAAAATTTTTATTAAAATTTAAAATATCAAAATATATAACCTTTCTAATTTAACTGCATTAAATTTTTCTTTGGCAGTTTTTGCTTCTCTTCTTGCACTATCAAATTCTTTTTCAGTATCTTGTAAACGTTGTTCTATACTATCTAATCTATATTAAAGTATAAATCATTCAAGATTTAATTTAAAAATCACTAGAATTGTTAATCAATTAACAATCAACCAAAAACCTTTCAATTGCTTTTAAATTTGGAGCTATTTCTTCCATCTTTGCTGCCTTTTCATCAAGCTTTTTTTCAAATTCTTTTGTAATTGTTAGTTTATCATCATCATCATTCTATACAATTATTAATAATCCAATTTGAAATTAGATATGTCATCTTATAAATAAATAAATAAAAATTTCATCGAAAAGTATATGTTATATAATGTATAAATTTGGCATATAAATCAACCTCTTTTAATTCACTTTTCAAACTATCATAGTTCACTTGGACATTCCAACCAAAAACAGGTGCGGTACTTGGTCCAGCTTGATTTGATGAGGTTTGAACATTATCATCATCATCAATCATCATTTGGTCACCATTTTCATACTGTAATGGTTAAAAATCAAAAAAAAAATATATAAATTTTTCACCAAATAAAAAATTTCATCTAATATAAATGTTACCTACAGTCTCTTCAATAGGTATATCATGAAGAGATCCTACTAAAAGTGGCAAATGTATTTCTTCTAATTTACATTTTCGAAATATTGAAAATTTATCTGCCTCTAATTTTTCAATGTCCAATTCCTTTGGAATCAAATCATTAAATTGAATTAATGAATAGCTATACATATATATATATATATATAAATATATAATATAAAAAATGAACAAATACCTTATTGAAATTTTCTTTACTAGATCTTTCTATTTCTTTTGATACTTGTGACAATTTCTTTTTCACATTATTTACAATTTCTGTTTTGGAGTCATACACATTTCTGATTTCATTCATTCTCCCTTGCATTATTGTAATTTCTTCATTAATTCTTTGTTTATCTTTAAGCAATTGTTCTTTTTGTGTCTCAAAAGTCCCCAACTTTTCAGCTTCTGTTTTGATTGTATGTTCAAGTTTGTTTAATCTATCCTTTGTTTCTTTCATTTGTTCTGATTCAAATTTCAATCTTTATCAGTGTTTTTTTTTTTTTGTTAATTAGAAAATATAGTTCCAATTATTAAAAAAAAAATAATAATAAATAATATTTAATGTAAATGTATATATATTTACTGATTTTGTAATCGAGATTTTTGAGTAGTATATCTTAATCTTTTCTCTGCTATCTCTTGTGCCATTTGTGATTGACGATGTTCATATTCACGAATATTAGAAAAATCATGTTTCCTACAAAAATCACTAAAAATACCATCTTCTATCATATTTATTGAATTCTGCAGTTGAGAATTTTGAGTACCAAGATTTGAAAGTTCAGCTTCTAACTAAAATTTTATTGGCATTTTTTTATATATATATAATTTGAATATTAATATTTTTTGAATAGTTTTTAAACAAATTTAATTTAAAACATTGAATGTACCTGTTTTAATCTCGGTTGCAGTTCTTCAACTCTGTTCGCTATATACTTTAACTCTTCTTCTACTGCTGCCAATTTTTTAATTATCGCATTCTATAATATTAAGTATTAAATATAAAATTATCATTATTGCTTATATTTTATTTTTATTTTCATTTTTAATAATAATAATTGTTTTTTTTTACCAGATCTTCTTTTGATAATGAAATTCTTGATTCTAGACCTAAAATCTCGCTTTTCTTTTGCTCTTCGTAATTTCCTCTACGTTTCAATTTACTCAAATCATTCAACTTTGATAATAAATCATCTCTTTGATGTCTTAATACTGTATGTCATTTAATTGAATACATAGTGATATAAATATATGTATTGTTGTTATATATTAAGCATAAAAATAAATTATAATAAACAATCACCGTCAATATCATCAGCTCGTTTTTTTTCTGTAACTCTTTTAGCACCAGATAAAATATCATCACTATGTCCACCAGTAATCAAACCACTTTTATGAATAATTGTGCCATCAAGTGTCACAGCTTTACAAATAAAAAGCAAAAACCAACAAAAAAATTTAGTGTATATAAATAAATAAATAAATATATATATATATATAAATCATTAAAAGGATTAAAATTTACCCTTTATTTGTTGATTTTTCTCATAGCATATATGTTTTGCGATTTCTAATGTATCACATACCAAAGTATTTCCACATGCATATTGAAAAGCGTGATCAAGTTTATCATTATATGTAATGACATCAATTGCCAACCTTGCACCTTTTACATAACTTCTGTATTTGTCATTGATTGGTTTGACTACAATTGTGTCAAGAGGAATAAAGGTTGCATGGCCAAGTCGTTGTTCTCTCATATACTTAAAACAAAATAAAACATAACATATATTATACATTACTTTAAAAAACTTAATAATTATCAAATTATAATTATAATTATAGATAATTATCATGATATTGATAATATGATAATAACCTGAATACATTCAATAGCTGTTTTTTGTTGATCAACAATAATTGCATCCATATTTCTTCCAAGAATAATTGACACAGGAACTATATATTTACGCTGAGTAGGCGAAAATAAATCAATAAGACGTCCATGTACACCAGAAAATACTCGTTTTAAACTTTCCAAAGATTCTTTCATTTTTTGCTCACGTTCTGATTCCCTTTGATCCACACTTGCAACAGTCAATTTGTTAAGAATATCTTGTAATTCTTGATTATATTGAGATTCTTTTTGGCTAATAAATTATATAAGATTTTTTATTTTTAAAACCAAAAAAAAAACAAAGTGTATATATATTATATTCTTCATATTACCTAATAGAAACCTTTTCGGTTATTACTGCATTAAGCTCTCTTTTAGTAGAATCAAGATCTTTATTTAATTTTGAAACATATGTTGATACCTATTTAAAAAATTTTTTTTGTTAATAAATTTTGTATTCATTTTATTTATTTATTTATTTTTAAAATTAAGACCTTGTCTTTGTTGTCTGTCAATGTAGTTTTTTCTTCTTCTAATTGCTTACGTCGTCTCTCTAAATCTTCCATCTTTTCTTTAAGGCGATGGGTATATTCACGACAAGTTTTTTCTTGCCTACGAACATTTTCTAGTTGTTGTTTTTCATTAACAGTTCTTCTGTTAGCTTCTTCTCTCCTACATTATTTATTTGTATAGAGAATGAACAAATGTATCAATATAATTGCCATTATTAAAAGATATTAAAATAAAACAAATTAGATGAAGTAAAACAGTTTTTTTTTAACTTTTTTTTGTATTCTGCAATCTCCACCGGATTGAGCATTGCATTTTTCTTTTCATTGCTGCCTTCAGCTCTTAAAGAATCTGGTTTTTTTAAGAATAAAATCATTAGTATTTTTTATTGTTTATTAAAGTCCCACAAATAATAAATTATTTAAGAGTCCATTTACTTTCAAATCTTTCAGCTGCCCTAGTAACTTGTTCTAAATCAGCTTCTAATTCTTCAACACTTTTTTTCTAAGAATAAATAAAAATATATATGATTTTTAAATGAATAAATATAACCTCTCTCTTCCACCCCCCAAAAGAAGTTAATATTGATGTACCTGTCTATAATAATCCTTTTTAACTCTTTCAGAGTTTTGTTCAAAGTTACTTAACTTTCTCCTTAAGTGAGCTATTTGTTCCTCCAAGGTTAATAGGATAGGACGCTTTTTTTTTTTTAGAAAGAATATTATTATCAAGAATTAAAAAAGTTTTATATAATATATACACATATTGTTAAAATTTTCAATACTTTTTCTTCTAGCTCTCCCTCCTTTGACTTGATAGATCTATCCATAGTAAAATGTTCTTTATGGATTTGAGCTTGTTCCATTTTAGACTTTTGCAGTTCATCATCATATTTTTTCTACTCAAATACATTTTAAGTTAAAAGTTTGATTTTTTCATTCAGAAAAAAAAAAGGATATATATACATATATATATATAAAAGATTAAAACCTTTTCTTTCTCTTTTTCCCAAATGCCTTCGTTATTCTTTGATATATCATCTCTAAGACCATTAATATTTTCTTCAATATGAAATAATTTCCATAAAAGATATTCAACTAAAATTTGTGCCTTTAATAATAATTATAAAAAATTAATTTAATAACTAAAATACTATAGATTATGTATGTGTATATATAGAGATCAATCAATCAATCAAAAGAATCTTTATATGTTTTCATTCAAAACCTTCTCATCTTGTAACTTTTCAAATTGTTGTGCTTGTGCCTTTTGTCTTTGATACTCTTGAATTTCTGAATTGATGCCACGTTTCTTATTAAAATTAAAAGCAGAATTTTCTGTTGCACGCTCTTGTTGAATCTTTAATTGCTCATAATCGTCCTTTAATTCCAATGAGCTTTGATAATAATAGTTGTAAGTTGTAGTTGTAGAAAGAATAATAATGACGATGGTATTATTATTATTATTATTATTATTATTATTAAGATCAATAAAACATTAATTTGAATATTATAATTATAATTATAAATATTACGTGCTAATCTGTTCAATTAATCTAGTTAAATCTTTGGGAGATTGAGATGCAATAGCTTCTACATCACCCTAATGAAAATCAAATATATATATATTAAACATATTGAATCCTCCACTTTAAATCAAATGAAAATGAAAAACAGTCAACATACCTGAAAAACCAAAAAATTTCTAGCTTTTACTAATATGTTTTGTTGTACTAATGTAGAATTATATTTGGTGTATGCAACTACTTTATTATTAATTTTATATTCACTAACTCCAGATGATGTGATTCTAAAAATTGAATTCATTAATTAAATGAGTGAAAATAATAAAAAGATAAAAAAGATCAAATTCCTCACACTCTTGTAAATTTTATCTCATTGTTATCATCATCTTTATATACAGCCATTACCCAAGCCCTTCTAGGATTATTTGTACGTCCTTCGATAGCCATACCCTCTACTGGCTCATCATCATCGTACATTGCACGGCCTTTATAGATAAGCTCTCTAAGCTGTGATGAGCGTAGTTGTGTAGATTTAATACCCAAAACAAATGAAATGGCATCCATAAGATTCGATTTACCTAAAAATTAATATAAAAGGAATTAAAGTAATTTACAAGGTCAAAGTTATCTATAATTTTTATAAACTTTCTAGATAGATGTTTTTCATAATTAAAAAATACACGTAAGTTTTAGCATTAGATCGTTAATTACCAGCACCATTTGGTCCAATCACTGAAGTGAAATTATAAAAAGGACCGATTGTTTGGTGTCCTTTATAGGATTTAAAATTTTCCAATTCTAAACGATCAAGTCTGCCCATTTTTGATCTATATATTACAAATTTTCTGTTTATTATTATTCACGTCTTAAATGGACGAACTGTTCGTGTTACATAGATTTCCAATCAGATTTCGAGGTACAAACCAGATTTTTGATGTAACGTACAACTAATTTTCTAAATTTGGTAAACACCCTGACGTTTTTTTTTAAAATTTTAATATTAATTAATATAATAATAGAGCTAAACTATACAGTATAAAAATCTTTTTATGAAACACGATTATAATTAGTAATTTGATTTTAAATGAAAATTTCATATATGTCCAGCCACTCCGTTGAAATGAGGGTTATACTGTACATATGAAAAGCCTATAACATTTTACGTCTTCTCACCACACATTCATCAAGTTTATAAGGGTAATATCTTAATTTTAAAGTGAAAAGTAATGTTGTGTTTGAGTAACTATAGCTTACATAGAGAGTCTTTTCCAATATGAAAGAGGAGGACTCATTAGAAAGCTTTGATGGCACAGTTTTATTTTATATTAATAATAATGTTTGAATTTGTTATAAAGATAATGGTGTAAATTTTTTATTGATCAACAACTGATGTGACAAATCTAACATCGTCATAGTTGTGTAAAAATTGAATAATGTGAAGACCTTTTTCATTCTCTGGTGATATGGCCACCCTTTTTTTAAAGAGTACTTTCGAATCATAGTGTTTACAGTCACATTCAATAAGATTTTCCCAGCTCTGTTTAAGACAAACATTATATCAAGTCAAATTTGGAGGAACAAATTCTCTCATCACACCTTCTCAATGCCAATCTTGATTGGTGCTGATATTACACATTCTGGTCCAGGAGAAAATCTACCAAGGCATCTATAACAGTATTAAGTGGTTTAATGGATGGATGCTAAGGCATCAAGATAGTTAGCATTCAAACTCTTGTGACTGGAATGATTGCAGGCTTGGCAGGGATGGTGAAAGAATCTTTTATCATGCTTGCGGGAGAAGACTTGAATGAATTCTTTATTATTGCAATGTTGTCTCTGATGGGGAATCTATTCCAGTACTTGAAAACAAATTAAAGGCAGTTGGAGATGCCAATTTAATAATATCATTGTCATCATATCATTGTTATTAATAAAAAAATTGGCTGTATGACAATCACTTGACCCAAGACATATAAACCAACTGTTACATTACATAATGTACAATTTTTCCTGGTTGATATAAAAGATGCAGATCAAACAGGCAATTGTTTACTGGGAACAATAGATGAATATGATTTTATTTGCAAGGCCAAGGGACTTGTAGCATAGGATGAAACCGATCTACTTCAAACCTTATTGCATAATCTATGTCATATTTATGTTTGATGTACTAGATTGCAGTATTGTTGGTTCCACAGCTTATTATGCTTACTTAGTTCAACAGAGAGACACTTTCATGGTTTAGCATTTCTTCTTCTAGCAAGAAATCTGAAACAGTTCCAATCACGGGAATTATCAAACTCAGATTACAAAGGGTTATGTATTTTATCAAAATTTTATTTATTTTGAATAATAATTAAAATATTGTTTATAATAATAATAATTTGTTGATATGAATTACAAATTCAATTCTTTTTAATAATTTTAATCTATCAATTCTATTATCAATTTTTTTTTTCAACTCATTCATCAATTACTCCAACTAATTCATTTTCCATTCTTTGTGAAGCAAAAAAATGATCAACATCTGTCAATTCTTTCACTGTTCAGTTCTTATTTTCTAATAATTTATTCTTTATAAACACTAGTAAATTGATCAGAATAACCATAAACAAATAAAACTGGGGGCCCAACAGGTGCTGCTGATGGTGGTGGTGATGATGATGATGGTGATGATGGTGATGATGATAAAGTAATCAGAGATTTAATACATTGATTGTAAATTGAAGATTTAAAAAAAGATAAAAACCAAATAACTGATAATGGATAACCTATGAATGCATAGGAAATAGGCAATGTTGTTGATGGTGTCAATAAAGATTGCACTGAAGAAGATATTAAAGAATCATAACTATATCCCTAAATAAAACAAATGCACAATTAAGTTCTTTTCCTTTGAAATTACATTATAATAATAATAAGAAGAATAATAATAATAAAGAAATTTTGCAATTATTGTTAGCTCAGAAATTTTTGGTATAGACATAATACTTTTTATTTCCAAGTTTTCCTGAATTCAATAAAAATTCAACAATTGTTTTGTAATCATAACATTCTGGCTTACCAGACCAGCTTGTTCTACAGCTGATTTTCCGGAACCTCTATAGAAATTTACTTTATTGAGAATTTTTTTAATTATTTTTTTTTAAATTTACCTGAAATTAAAAGCAATGGTAAGATAGCCTTTTCAAGAAAGAACTCTTCAACAGTTCTTACAACATTGTTGTGAAAATCTCCTCTTTTTATTTTGATCAATTGAGAACATTAATTTTAAATGATTGGATAGTTGCTATATTTGTCATATTTTGTAATACAAACCTAAAGGTCCATATGAATGTGAAATAGTGACACCTTTAATGGTCTGTGAATTTTGTCAATGTTATTATTATCATCATCATAATTGGTATCAGGTTTCCAATAAGATAATCATATTTCTAAGTTTTTATTATCATATAAAGAAGGTAAAATGCATTTTTCACAATCAATTGTTTGTTCATTTTTTTTTTTATTATTATAGAAAAAATCAAAATTGCTACCTACAGTGTTGAAAATTCAATGCTTTAAATTAAACCTATTTAAACCAACAATTGGAAAAATATTGGATACTTACTAAATTTGTACTAGTTTCGTGCGTCGGAAAATCTATTCATATTCAATAATTATATATTAATATAGGAAAGAAAACAAAAAATCGGCAAGGAATTTAAAAATTATAATAAAGGCAAAGGAAAATATGGAAACATAGATGTGAGGAAGTAGTAAATTGGGAATCTGAATTAGGGATTATGAGGGAAGAAAAAATCAATCCTAATATTAACTAGAAGGGAGAAATTATTTTTATAGTTAATAATACTATTTACCTTGTGAACCCATTGGTAAAGACAAAAAATTTTTGAGATTGTTGATTATTCATCAATTATCCAATTAATCGGATGTTGAAATTTTAATTTTGCCAATTGGTTAACCAAAGAATTGGTGAATAATCAGCAAATGTTATAATTGTATAAAAAAACAATTAAAACAAATGCAAACTTAACATCCTAACTTTGCAAAGAATCATCACTTTAAATAAATTTAAGCAACAAGTTCAGTGCCTTGTTAAAAAAAGAAATAATTGTGAAGCTTTGATAAAAAGCCACATTTTATTTGCTTTAGTGAGGTTAGGACTAATATTTGTTAACTAGTGAATGATAAAAACAGTTGACAAAGTAGCATCAGGAAAACCAGTAATAAATATCCTATACAATTGTAGGGGGTAATACTTCTTGGAGTATTATAGATTATATGACTTTGTCCAATAAACAAATAGAATGATTATGTCTACCACTAGATGTACCATTAAAATTTTCTTGATTTATTTGTGATCTGGAGTAACTAAATTTTTTGAATTTGTAATTGATGAATTCAATTGTTCAGTCAGTAAAATTATACATAAAAATAAAATTTGAAAATAACCAATTACAGTAAAGTAGGTGTCTTTTAATTTATTCAAAAGATCATCAATTTACTTACATGGGTCATGCTGCAACAAAACCAGACAAAGTGAACATCGGCATTACCAGAATTTCAGGTATCAAAATTTATTAATGTGATTCCCATTTGCTAACTTCTTAATGTTAAGTGATGTATAGAACTATCTCTATATAAAGATAGTTAATATGTTATTTTGTAACCCAACTAATAGATAACAAATAGTGTTCCATGTCGCAGGTACATTCATTTTATTTTTATATATTTCTGCAATCCAAAAAAAGGAAAATAAAGTGGTTGCAAAGGTGGAATGTTACAATTGACTTTTTAGCAGCCTCCTTATTATTATCTGTTCTTCTTTCTGGAATTAGAGCATCTACCATTTCATCAAAAAAACCTTGAAGTCTTGAATCAAATTATCAGAAAATTTAATTGGATCTAATTCAATTTTATCTTTTAGCGTTCTTAGTTGTTGCAGCATGCTCACATGTGTGATTATATAGTTATACCTTTCTATAAGCACATTCACTACTTATAGTCACAGCATTAGCATCTCCCCGAAGGGGTGTGACTATAAGGGGGTCCGCTGTAGTTTATTAATTAAAAAGATTGATATAATTGCTTCCTACCAGAATCGAACTGGTGCCTTCAGATTATGAGACTGACGCGCTAACCACTACGCTAAGGAAGCTAATTTATTGCATATTATGTAATATTTATCTTATTTGAATACTTATTAATTTAGTTAACAAAATATCCAAAATATCTCAATTTTAATTATATATAAATAAGAATTTATTTGCCATCCTCTTCTAGCTAAAAGTTAACATATTGGTGGTATTGTTTCAATATCAACGCCAATCTTAATGCAAAGTTTTTTAATAGATGAAATAAATTAAAGTTATAACCTTTAGCTCTCTTTGCTGGATCACCAAATTTAAATATTCCAGGACCTACAAACTATCACATCCATCGCAGGTCTGTATGTAGAGATTTTTGAAAAAATATAAATATATAAAGAATAGTCATATATTCTATTATTCAATAATTGCGTTGCCAAACTACCGGAAATCCTTTCAATTCAATAGTTTTCAGTAATAAACCACAAGGTGCCTGTATTTTTCTAACACAACTAAATAATTCATTATATAATTTTTCGTCTTTGAAACTTCCTTGATTTCATTTGTAACTGATTTACAGCTTCTACCACATTTCTGTTCCTGCTTCACCTCTTGTGCAGCACCCTCAGTGATTCTTCGAAATGCTTCACCTAAATTCTTAGCTCCACATGCAAATGGAACTTTGAAATCGTCTTTATTTATATGATAACATTGATCAGCTGGCATAAGTACTTGAGATTCATCAATGTAATCAACATTAATTGCTTTTAAAATCTATTATTATTGTCGCTGTTACCTGAGCCTTCACAGAATATCCAGTTATTACTTTAGCCAATACTGGAATTTTGACTGCTATCTTTATCTTCTTTATCATTTTAAATCAGACATTCTAGCAACTCCATCAACTCCATCTAATAATATTAATGAAATTATAAAACGTTGATTTCTAAATTTATATAAAAAAATTTTAAACCTTCTTTTCTAATATCAGCTGATACGTGTTCTAAAGCCACAACAGCTACTGCGTCAACTCCTTCTTCAATCCTTGCTTGTTCAACATTTACAACACCCATGATTACTTCTCTTTAGTATTATAATTATAAGCTAAACGCAATCCGTTAACAACCCGTTATGCGAAATTTCTTAACGTTAACCCAGTAATCCGTTAACTACCGGATAAGGTCTTAACGGGTCGTAACACTAGTAATCTCATCGAGTGGACAGGCCTCGCGTACTAAGTGAAAGTTGTTCCCCATACCAAATTGAGTTGTTTTAAACAATTAATGGAAAATCGTTTTCCTTACGTCCTTTATTTACTTTGCTTTTTTTTTACATAAAAACATTTTGAACTTTATATCATCTTAACAATTGATGCCTTTTGCTTTTATTTAGATATTTTATGATAAAGGCCTGTTGACCTTTTGGAAAGCGTCCGCATGCGGTGTTAAAAAAGGCGGCGAGTTTTTTTTCATTAAATTATGTATTTATTTTTATTTTATTTAAGAATAATAAATAATAAGCTAAAATGATTTAATTATCTTTTTATTTTTTCTAATAAATAAAAACCTCAGTCCATTAACCTAACATTAAGACTTTATATACACAATGCAATCTCTGAAAAACAATATTAGTAAACTTCATTAAATATTTCACATCAATTCAGCATCTTCCAAGAATCGATATTCAAACCTTTTAAATAAAACAACCAATAATAAGAATAAACATTTATAATATATACATATATATATATATATACACATGCACACACACAATCAAAAAAAAAAAATACCTAAACTCTGTTTTTTTACGTTGACACCAAGCTCCTTCATAATCAAAATATATATAAGTTCCTTGTTCGTACTCGTCAGTAATTGATTTGGGCTCTTCATGTCGTTGAAACCAAGTTAAATATTTTTTATGAAATCTCCATGACTGTTTTTTTAATTCTCGAGCAGCAAGATATCTTTTTTTTTTACCACCCAAAATTAAAATTATCCAATTAAAGATATATTATATATGTGTGTGTGTGTCATGAATGTATTAATGTATATAATAATAGCAATGTGTTAAAAATACAAACTGTTGGTAAGTTCCTTGTTGATAATAAAATATGAAAAAAAGAGTATCGATATCAAATTTTTCAAATAATGCAGGATTATCAAAAATTGGATAAGGTGTTTGTGGATAGTATGGTGGTGTGTGGTAAGGATTCCTTGGTGTGTAATATTTTGGTCTATAATAATATTAGACAAAGTAAAATTTTACTTGATTTAGTAAATCAATAAATAAAAATTAAAAATATTTTATTTCTATACCTTTCTGCATCAATGGTTTCCGGAACACTCTGAAGACTAGTATCAAGCATTTGTTGAATATGAAATTTATCTTTACTCAAATCTAGGAAAAAATTTTATTTATAGGAAGAAAAAAGCAAAATGTATATTGCAAAGAAAATAAACATGTATGTATGTAAGAATATAATATAATTTTTTTAATTTAAATATGCGATTTAATACCTTTCTGCTTACATTTCTTTTCAACAGATCCATATGTATGTAATAAATCTGCAAGTGAATTGGGTATGCGGTTTTCTCCGTTGGTCGACGATGATGATGATGATGATGATGACGACGACGATGATGATGAACCTTGATTATCATGCTGCTCTTGATTTTCTTGATTATTGATATTAGCACCAACATCAATTGAATTTTGTATTGACTATTTTTGTTTAAATAATGTTTATTAAAAATAGTAATAATTAAAATATAATAATGTTAAATAAACCAAAAGTTAATAAAAGTAATAAAGTAATTCAATATTATCAATACAGATGAATTAGATGCAGTTGGTTGTTGGCGATGTTGTGGATGATAATGTTGTGGTGGCGACAGTAAAGTTCCCTGATCTTTTGGAGTATATGACTGAGATTCTAAAGGATTGGTCTGTTGATTATGTATATTATTTATTGTCAGTGTCATTGGCACTATTGGTGGCGGTGGCGGTGGTGGTGGTAATTGATTATGATTTTGCTGTTAAATAATAAAGAAAAGGCATTAAAAAATGCGTGTAATAATGCATTTATCAAAATAATCTCAAACCATCAGAGTAAAAATGACCTGAATATCATTTTTGGATTGTGAGAAACCCTGTTTTTTAACTTCAATTGAATCATTTGAAGAATCTATATTATTATTAGTAAATGTTGTAGATTCCTTTGGAGTGATATACAATATAAAAATAATTCATTTATATAAAAACCTTTTTTGATATCACTATCTATAGTAGTAGGACGAATTTGCGTCTGCTGAGATTGTTGTATAGGTGAGGGTGGATTCGTTTGTGATTGAAGTGATGCTGGTGGGTTTGTTTGTGATTGAAGTGATGAAGACGATGATGATGGTGGTGGTGGCGGTGGTGGCGGTGGTGGTGGTTGTGATGATTTGGATATTGAATTTATTGAGGTAGCATTTTGAGAGACAACGTTAGATGAGTTTGAAGATGAGGGAATGGTATCTTGTATAGAATGTCGTTGTTGTTGTTGTTGTTGTTGTGAAGGTGGAGTTGGCGGTCGTGTAAAAGGAGCAGGTGTTGTTGGTTCTGGCAAACCTTGTTTAGCTACAGAGGCTATCGTTCGCATTACGGTGGTGGCGGCGGTTGGTCCTGAATTGGAGGTGGTTTTTAATGAAGGAAATGTAGGTGGCGGCGATTTCAAATTAATAACAACAGAATCAGATGTAGATGCTTGAGCCAATATTGAAGGAGGTTTTGGTTTATCTTTAAATTTTTAAAATAACAATAAAAAACATTAATAATTCAAGGATATAAAAAATAATATTATTTTAACCTGGGATAATGTTACCTTCTTCCTTAAGCCACGTTGACAAGGATTCATTTGCATTGCTACTTTCTAATTAGAAAATTATTATTTATTTTTATATATAAGCATAAATAAATAAAACAAAAAAAAAAAAATCTTTTTAACAAAATATGTTTGCATACTTCTCGATGGAAGAGGTACAGTATTTTTAGGAACAGTGACCCTCGACGTCAGCGATGTTACTGGGCTTAAATGCTGTTCAATGCAATTTACTTGATTACCCAAGAGTCCCAAAAAATTTTAAATAAAAACTTTAAACAGCATTAAGATCACACATTGGTCCATCCAAATAGGCTGGCACAATTAATGCAAATGCCATTGCCATTTGGATATATAAAAGATTGATTCTTGCCTCCTTTTGTGGTGTCCATGGTTCTGTAAGAAAAATATTAATAAAATATATTAATAAGTGATCAATCATTATTAAATATATGACAAATCCAAGTAAATCAAATGGACTTTAAAGCGCTAACCATCAGTAACAGAGTCGTGACTGCTGTGATGTTCCTCATTTGCAATTGCAATCGCGTATAATTCTTCTTCTTCTTCGAGATTTAAATCTTCGTATATATTTTCATCTTCTGCAAATTCAGGTTCTTGATTACTTTCAACGTAATATTTGATATCTTCTTGGATTTGGATAACCTAAAAAAATTTTAAAGCAATAAACGATCTCAAAAGATATTTATCATAATGTGATAACAATGAAATTTTTTTTTGTTATATCGCATCCAATTTTGATCTAAATGTTGATATGGATGTTGATAATTAATCAATCAGCTTATAGTCCAAGTGACAAACCTTTTCAGGACAAATATTTCCATTTTCTAATAATCTTAATATTAATTCTAAACGATTAACATGCCACTTATTCCTCTCTATTAGATGATCAACTTCAGTCAGACGTTCAACCTTTTGAGTATCCTTTCTTCCTTTCTTAACAGCACTTTGCAAACTTTCAGCTTCAGCTTCGGCTGTTTCAATCTGTGCGCTGAGAATATCAATCTGACTTGCTACAAATTCACAAGTCTCCATTTTCTCCTTCTCTTTTGGGTCCATTTTAACAGATTGTTGCAAACCTTCTTTTGAATAGGCTTTAGTTTTCATTTCTTTTTCACATGCTTTAAATTTTTCCATTTGCTAATTCATTTAAAATCATAATAATAAGTAAATTTCGAAATCACAATACTTTTTTTTCCTTCTAATAAAAAATTTCGATTGATAAATCTAATAACTGCATCAAAAATTTATAGTGATTATTATTATTGTTTCTTAGGATGGAAAGATCAAACCTGCTCTATTAAACGTCTATTATCAATTAATGCACGTTTGTCTTTAATGTCATTTGAAGATATCCATGCTTTTATTTGATCACGTTGCCTCTGAAGTTTTTTAATTTCTTTCTTGAGATCTTGTTCCAATTTTTCCTTTTGATTCGAGTTGATTGCTGCTTGTATTTTATCAAATATTGCCTCAAATGTTTCCACACCCTCTGATACCCTTTTAAGTACACGATCTATTTCAGCTATAAAGGCAAATAAAATAATATTAAATTTCGTAATCAATTCAACATGAAATGTAAAATAACCAATTATTATTTATCACTTTGTAATTTTCTGTTCGCCATGTTAAAAATGTAAACTGTGAAAGAATGATCAATTAATTTGCTTTTATTTCTAAATTAAATTTTTTTTTTAAAAAATATTTCCGTGGTACAAGGGTGATAAAATTTGTGTCTTTTTTAGTAAATTGGTTTTTGGATACGTAATATTATTATCTGTTTGACAAAAGGTGAATGAATGAATGTTATTATTGTTCAATCTTCGATAGCTTAAATTCATGAAATGAACCATTAACAATTTCTTAAAACTTTACAATACAACCAGGGATTAGGTGAAGTTTCAAAAAAAAGACAATGTTGAAATATTAATGTTTGTCACTGTGACATCACAAAAAATATGTTGTGTAATCATATGATCAGTATCAATTTATTCGTCAATTTTTTTAGATCCAGAAATTTTTTTAGTCGCTTTTAAGAGAGATTGATTTTACAGGCATGTAGGTGTAAAGTTTACTTTTTATTATTGAAGGTTCAAGTTGAATATTTGTGAGATTTATTAGAGAGAAAGACTTTTTATATAATAATTCCATTTACATATACACAAACCAATAAAATCAAACTTCCACTATGCTATTTTCAAAATGTTGCCACCACTTTTTTTTTTTTTTTTTTTTTTTTTGATTATATTTATTTATTTAGGTAAATAAATCAAACCAAAATCATTTTCAAATTTTTTTTATAACATTTTTTAAAAATTATCTTTATGTGTTATATAATAATATAGTATACATAGTAATTCAAAATGGCACAACGTCTTACTTACAGACGGCGTTTAAGTTATAATACCAAATCTA